GGATGGCTCAGTGGGTAAAGGTGCTTGCAGCCAAGCCTGACAACCTGAGTTCAAGCCTCAGGATCCATATGGTGGAAGTAGAGTACTGACTCTCATGAGTGGCCCTCTGACCTTCACACAGATGCCTTAGTATGCCCACACCACACACATACATACTCACAATAAGTAAATAAATGTAATTTAAAAATTTTAATAGGAATAGCAAAGATACAGGTGTGTTTGGATAAAGACATGGGTGTGTGCAGCATGTTAGTACACCCCGTTTTCTGGAAACGTGTTTTAAAAACAGAACGAAAGAAAAGGGAGGGAAATGGATGGTACAGAAAGAGGAAGGGAGCTAACTTCAAATTTTCTATATAGCCCAGGCTCTCCTCAAACCCCCACCCTCCTGCCTCTACCTCCCAAGTATTAGTACTGCAGGTGTGTGCACCAGACCCAACCTGGAATCTTTGGAAGTCTCAAGATAAATACTAAGAATCTACTGTGGAATTCAATACTGTCAGTTCAAACTATATGATGTAAGAAATGCAGATGGATTCCATTAGAACGACGCTCCCTGGCTATCAAAACAGCTGCAGCGGCGAAGGTGGTGAACACAAGTCAGACTACCTGTTCGGCAATCTACTCCTCATCATCAGAACAGTCAGCATGAGATTCCGGCCTTCCTTGTTGGTACCACCTGGGTGTTATTGAAAGTGTGCTGTCCACCAGGGTTGAATGCTGACTACTTTGCTATCTATCTGCAGAGCCATGGTCTACTACCTGTCAATGTCTGCCCTGCCCCTTTCTTGCTCATGTCCCCTCAGTACTGTGCACGGCATCAGGAGAGCCAGTCCCCACTTTTTCGCTCCCCTAGACCAAATTTCAGCTAAGGAGAAATAAGAGGAAGCCATCTGGTGACATTCGGGACCATTCAGCTTTCCTATGGAAGGGAGACGTGTAGCATAAACCATCGTCCATCCCCTCCTCTGTTGAACGTGGTCGTGAGGGAGAAAGCTCAGGCAGCCTTCCTGCAGCCGTGACAGATAGGAACCAGCGAAAGGCTGAGTTTAGACTTTAGGAAAAGGGACAGTAGCCCAGAGGTAAAAGCAGTAAGCAACAGACAAAGACCTGAACCAACAGTTGATTCTCGTATTTCTGAGTCACTGTGCTGAACACTATTTTCTACAAGAAAAATAAAAGCCTGGTTTTTGTAAGCCGTCATTAAATGTTTATCTGTTTCTTGTGGCTGAACTAATACACCATTTATAAAAATGCAAATTTTTGAGTCCAGGGCTGGAGAGATGGCTCAGCCATTAAGGGCACGGTCTGCTCTTACAGAGGGCCTGTGTTTGGTTCCTAGCACCCACATGGTGGCTAATGACCACCCATAACCCCAGTTCAAAGGAATCCAATGCCCTCTTCTGACCTCTGCAGGCATTGCACAACATGGAAGCATTCAAATACATGCAGGCACTACGCTCATACAAATAAAATTAAAATAATAAAATATTTTTAAAGCAAATTTTGAATCCATGATTCCTACAGATCCTTTCTCCAGAACTGTATTCCAGGATAACAGAAGCCTTGGGTCTCTGACAGTAAACTCTATCCCACAGGCCTGCATCCTCACCTGGACACCTGGGACACGGAGCTTACACAGGAGGTCTGCTTCTGATTTCTACACATTAACTTCAGTGGGGTTCAGACTCCAGAAGAAATAATAATGAAATTGTGATATCTCATAACATCTCGCTCTTTTTGTCTCGACTTTAATGTCACTTCCTAGTTACCAATGAGCTATTTCGGAAGGGCTGGGAACATCACTCAGTGGCAGAGTGCAGGCCTAGCATTAGGGTTTGAACATGAGCTTTCCCCAACAGGCTCATATGCTTCAGCCGGCAGGTGAGGCTGTTTTCGGAGGTTGTGGAGCCTTGGGGGGCGGGCCTTGAGAGTTATATCCCAGTTCTTTTCCTACCCCAGATGTGCTTGCTCCTGCTTCCTGTTCTACCAAGATATGAGTTAGTGAGGTGCCCCTGGTACACGCTTTGGCCTCCATGGGGGACTGTATCCCCTCAAACCGTGAGGCCAAACAACTCTACTTTCTTTAAGTTGCTTTTATCAGGGACTCTCTCGTGGCCATTGAGAAGAATTAATACATCTAGCAAGATCAAAGCCTTGGGTTCAACCCCCAATGCTGTCAGAAAAAATTACAGATGTAGTTCAGAAAAGAGGTAGATCCTAAGGAAGGACTGGCTGAATCATGCTACAAGACTGTCAGGATCCCCCACGCAGCCTGAGGACTCTAGGAAGGAGAGAAAGAGGTGGATGGGAAGACACAGGTCCCTCTGACATACTTTCAACAAGTTCATAAGGTGGTAGAAGACTCAGCTAAGCAAGCTCTTTCCTAGAGGCTTCAGCGGCTAAGGAGACATAAAGGTTCTGCTTCCACCCAAAGAGCGATAAACTCTGCCCAACCACACTAACGCTGGAAGCATCTGCTGCTGGCCAGATTGTATGAGGGGACACTGGGAAGGGGAAGGCAGGGCTGGGCCATGTGGAGATGGTAATCTGTGAGGACACACATGATCCTTCAAGGGACAAGCTGAGAATGCTCCATCTTTGTTTTTTGTTTTGTTTTGTTTTAATCCAGGTAGGAATGCAATGATTTCATCTTCCCTGGAGTTCGATGTTTCTCTGTCTGTTACCAAGCCAGATGCTGTTTACTGTACCTCATGCTGGGGGTTGGGGGTATATGGGCTCGTTAACTTACCATTCATCCTCAGCCTGTGCCATTCTGCAGGCAGGATGCCCAGCCTGGATGTCAAATTTTTACAAATAACAATTGAAGCTGTCAGTTATCTTGATGAGCAGTGTGCTCTGGAGAAAGAACAGCATAATTGTGGGGTGAAGTGTTAGTGAGCTAATTTTTTGTTCCTACAGAAACAAGAACAAAACCTATTTCTGGAAATAATATATTTACTGTTATTATATGGTATGTAGCACATAAATTCCAAATAATACCAAAGTGAAGATAAAAAATTCCTCAGCTTTGTAGAGGCAGAACATATCACGGAGAACGAGAGAGAGACAGAGAGAGAGAGAGACAGAGAGAGAGAGAGAGAGAGATAAAATCCTATTTCATTCTTTTTCTTGGCCTGAATTAAAATAGAGAAATTACGGTGTTTATTTTTCTTGGATATTTGTATGCTTAAATACAAGCCAGAACAACTATAAAAAAGACCCCAGTGTTTAAGCTGCAAGGAAAAGATGGTATGAATTTTAATCATCTATGACAGTGTCCTCTCATTATTAAGTCAACCAAAATGTAATTTCTGGTTTCCTCTCCATCCCTCCAGGTCTATAAATCTAGACTCCGGCAATCTTCCCATTCCTGGCTATCCTTTTAAATCTCGGTTCAAATGCCAGAACTCTTGAGGCTTCCCTTCGCTCCCTCCAAGGCAGATGGTCACATTCCCCAGGTGTATCCATCTTTCTCCTGTCCCTCACCTGGCTCTTCTGAAGCCCTGTTTTAATCATTGTTTGCCTTTCTGTTAGACAGTGGAGTGCTAGGAGATGGGGAGTCAGATATTCAGCTTTGTACACCCAGAGTCCTGTGTAGATATTAGCATATAAAACATGCTCAACAAGAACTTAATGAACAGGAAAAGGAAAAAAGGGAACAGTGCGGTGAAGGGGCATCTTAGAGAGTGCTTCCTACTCACTGCACCATAGTGAGGCAGAGGGCTCCTGCTGCAGGGCCCAACAGAGGGCAGCAGAGAGCTGAGGACCAGAAATACTGTAGGATGACCAACACTCAGGCAAGTTTTCCTGGAAGGGTCATGTTGCAAGGTAGAAACTGCAAAGCCAGTGACACTAAAAATCAGGGCACACGCTTGCCAGACACCATGGGGCCAAAGAGGTGCATGAAGACCCCCAAGGTGCATAAGAAGTACCCACTGTGGGTTCAAAACAATTGGGATGCTCTCAAACAACAGAGGGTGAAGAACACAGAGGGCCATGACTGGCCAAAGTGTAGAGAACAAGAGACTGCAGAGTGTGTGTCCCTGGACAGGACTCCTATAGTAAACCTCACCCACCCGGGGCTCAGGGACCGTTGTGGAAGAGGGGGTGGACAGGCTGTAAGAGCCAGGGGTGATGCCTGACCATAAGGAAACAGAATCTCATAGGCTCCTGAGACCTTGCTCATATGAACTTACAGCAATGGTGTCAGCATGCACAAGACCCATGCAAACTCAATCAGATAAAAACCAGTATAGAACTGGGGAAATGGGCAGGAAGTCCCAACCTTAGCCAAGGAACTATTGGCAACTGATCACCGCTGGGTGAGGAAGTGCTGATCTTCTTTAAGGAAAAGATACTAGATAGACTTAACAGGCTCCAGTTGACGAATTCATACCAAGAGACATCTGGATACACAAACTTGACTTGATAAGCCTTAACATACAATTCAGAATGTGTGAAATCCTGTTGGCAGGCTATGGGGAGCAGATAGGGAAGGTCTAAATATGATTACAGTATATTGTATGAAATCCACAAAAATTCAATAAAAATATACATTGAAAAAAAGCCAGGTATGTTAACACACACACTGGTAATCACAACACTGGAGAGGCAGAGACAGGAAGATCGTTAGAGCTTGCTGGTTAGCTAGCCTAGCCTAGTTGCAAGTCCAAAGTATGCTGAGAGACTCTTACCTCAAAAGAAAAGGTAGACAGTGTTCCTAAGGAATGACACCTGAGGCTGTTCTCTGGCCTACACACACATTCTCACACAGTTGCACATGTGCCCTCCATGCCATCTGCCACACACTTGTAGA